GCGTGGCCTCCACTCTAGCCCCGGCTCAGTTTGCACACATGCACGTGGGCAAGCATGGTGGGTGTGGATGTTTGTTCTGCTCTCACACCCCCAGTGATGTCATTTTCCAAAAACCTAGGAGGGACTTCCTTACCCCTGGGGTGTGAACACTAAGAAAGCAGAAGGGCCAACACCAAGGCTCGCGGGACGTGGAAATCAAGGAGGAGCTGAACCCCGAGTTAGGGCTGGAGGGGAGAGGCCCGGCTGGACAGAGCAGAGGACTGGGGAGTGGCCTCTGTTTCTGGCGTAGAGGTGGAGGCCTCTCCCAGGCAGGCCCATCCCTGGGGCCCAGAGCTGGGGAATCCCGCGGGGGGGGGGGGGGGGGGGAGTGTTTTGCAGGATGTTCACAAGGACTTTCCAGGAGGCTTCAGCTAGGGTGGAGCGCTTGGTCCTGAAACCTCACCTCCTTCCCCTGCAGCTTTTAACCTCCTGGTTCAGGTCACTAACTGCTGGGAAGGCAGCCAGCAAAGTGGGTCTAAAGATGGAGCAGGACCCAGCAGGACGAGGTGCAGGGGTTCATCAGTGGATACTCCAAGCCTGCTCTGCAGAGGGAAGGACGGCCGGGCCTGGCTTCCTAGTGACTTGGCAGCAGACACTTCATCACCACGGCCGCCTCCCAGGGTGGCTGGTCCTGTCAGTCCACCAAAGGCCTGGAGGAGCGAGCAGGAAGTGCCCAGCAGTTCCAGGCCAACCCTCAGGAGCTGGGACCTGTGCCTCCCCTGTAGGTGGCAGAAGTCGCGCTCCCTGCCCCCCACTGGAAGGATAAGCGAGGCCCAGGACCTTGGGCACCGCAGACACTGGGAGTGGGGGGGTACGCTTATCTGAGTCAGCCTCTCACCTTGGCCCACGTTTTCTTCTGAACAACAGAAAACAGGGGGAAAGCAGACAAGCTGCCTTCACGTGTGTCAGGCAGATTCTCCTTCCTTCTCCTCCTTCCCCATAAACGCTGACACTCCCAGGTCAGCCTCATGGAGTCTGTGGCCTCTACTCTGAAATACGTCCCTTCCGGCTGCTGCTCCCACCCCGGGGTGGGGCGCTGTGGCCACTGCCTAGGTGCAGCTTCTGCTCTCCTTACCCACTGTCCCCGCAAAACCAGGCGGTTCTCCCAACGGGAGTCAGAGCTGCAGCCCAGTTGAGGGGTCTTTGTCAGTATTACTATTGTTAAGTATTTGCTCAGATCAGTTGCACAAATGCGTGGGCATCCCTGGGACCCTTCCACATGGGGGTCCGCCATGTTTCAACAGCATCCCCCTCCCTACCTGCCTCCTGGAGACCCTTCCCTTCCTTAATAGTGCCTCTTCCACTTTCAGGTTATTTGCTTGTTTATTCGATGACTTATTGTAATTTCCACATGTGATAAACTTTCCCAGAGCACTTTTAACAGAACACAAAGGTCTTACTGCCCTGCTTCCCTGGCCTCAGCCTGGACAGCAACCTCTGGCTTTCCCCTGCCACACTGTCCTACCTTTGGCTCTTGCTGCAAGCCCCCCACGAGGACCTCACAGCCTTCTCACTCTCTTGGGCTTGAGGTGTTCTCACGCCCTACACCTCTTCTCATCCCCTGTCCGGCCTAACACTCAGCTCCTGAGCAGCCTTTCCTGGCCCTCAGTGCAAAATCAGTGCTCTCCAGTCCCCACCTGCCATTTTTCGTTTTCGCTGGTGCCTTTGCCTAGGACCTGAGACCCTGAGAACACGGCCCCGATTTCCCCGCTGTGTGTCCTCACTGCTGGCTGGATGAATGTCAAGGGGGGCAGAGGCAGAACCTGTGGCCTTATCCATGGTGATAAAGGAATATTTTACACCTTTACAAAATGTGCATGGATTGGGTGCCACTCTTTCTGCATCAGCCCCCAGAACCTCGCCCTGGGCAGCTCTAGCAGCCTGTATGGTGGGGAGTGGTTCCACATCAAGGCGGCTCTGCCTCTTCTCCACCAGGTTTTGAAGGCACCAGAGAGAAAGCTGAATCGAAGGTCTTTGCATCTCTAGTGGGCATGTGAAGAAAGGAGTTCAGGTAAATAGGAAGCTGTGCCCCAGAACCAGGGGCCTGGGACCTTATCGTGCTCTGCTGCCAATCTTGGGGGATTATGGGCCCTACTTAGAGCTCAGTTTCCTCTCCTGTAAAAGGAAGGATTTTGTCCTAGGGAAATGGACAAAAGAATTTAGACACATTTAGATGGATGCTGGAGAAGGCCATTAAAAATATGTTGAGGAAAATCTGGAAAAGGATTATAGCCAAAGTAAGTCCTTTCCCATATAAATACATTCCAAATTATGCAGCAAATGTTGAAGTTATTGGGGAGGGATGTCCAGTGACTAGAAGCAGAGCTCACTTGGGGGGTTACGATGGCTTGCTTTCATCTTCTCCTTTTCTTTACTCTCCCAGGTACAGTCAGGGAGGATGCAGGGTTTTCACAGCGCCGCCCCCTCCCCGGGTTAATAAGGCTATAAAATGCTCTGAGATGCTGCCCCATAGTCTCCAGGCTCCCTCCTGCCTGCCACGCAGTGCTGGAAAGCTCAGGGGCGCACTGGCTTGGGGCTTATCTGCATGGCTTCTTGGTGGGCGCGGGCAGCCTGGCCTCTCTGAACACTGCATTGCCATGTACGGCTGTCCTGGAGCCAAGGGAGGCCACCCAGAGGACTCTGAGGAAAGAGGGCCTCTCCTCTCCTGGGTTACTAATGGAGGTGCCAGAAGTCACACCTTTGCCACCCGTGGGTGTGTTGTCCTGTGAGGACATCAGCATCAAAAAGCAGACCTGGGACAATAGGAAAATCGAAACACAAACAAGCACCAGCTTTTGTTGACTTTCTTGAACCCCAGTCCAACTGGAGCCCTCTCCCCAGATCTCGACCCGCCACCCTTTCCTCTACGTCTGAGCCAGTTCCAGCGCACTTGTCACAACAGACTCCAGCTCGTGCATACAGCCTGCCATCGTGCTGCGGGGGGGGGCAGTGGATCAGCAGGCTCCAGGGGAAGGGCGTTGGCACCTCATTTTCTATACCAAGGGCCTCAAATTCTGACTCTTGGACAAAATCAGAGCCTTACAAATCCTCCTTGTGTGAATTATTCTAGTGATGGTGTTGACATACTGTCATCCAAGTGCTAAAGAATGCTAGAATAAACATTTTAAAGAAGCAACCTGTTTCCATTGAGTGCTAGACTTTCACCGTCTGCCTAGAGTTCAATCTCAGCTTCAGTGAAGCTTGGCTTTGAGCCTCCAGCTGCTCAGACAAGTGCAGGCCAACTTTTGTGCCTTCAAGGTGCGTGCAATGTCTTCTCCAGAACCGGACCTGCATTCCAGTCCCACTCGCCTCTGAGCTGCAGCCTCTCCAACACACCAATCCTGTCATCCGGGCCCTGGGCTACTATTGGATTCCCTGGTTTTCACTATCCACAGGGTTCAGTCCTTAGAGAACCACAAAATCTGTTGGAAGCCTCCTAACCTTCCTGAGGTTTGAATGCTCCATCTGCCTGCAGTTGTTCTTGTCCTATGTACCAGGCATTGAGCTAGACTCCTGGTGTACCAGGATGGCAAAACTATCAGCCCTGTCCCAAGGAGCACCAGCTCATGGGGATGCAGGTAATGGCAGTGCCATGTTACACAGCAGAAACAACACTGGGTGCTTTCAGGAAGAAGAGATGCCTGCACTAGCTGGAGGAATCTGTAGCTAAGCTTAGCCTTAATACTGAACACCGGTCATACAGGTTGCACACATACAGCTTAAACAGAGACCTGGAGATCAGAAACCTCAGGCAGCAAGCAGAAAAACAGCAATTGTGTGTCACTAAGGCCTGAAGCAGTCTCTGGAATAAGGCCAGAAGGGAATATAGGGGCTGAGCTGGGAGACAGAGCCCCACAAGATCAACCCCATAGGTCAGCGGGGGGAGCCTGGCATGAACCTAAAGGCGTGAGATCTGATGGATAGACATGCAATTCCATATGCCTCCACATCCCGTTAGAGTCAGAGGGACCTGCAGGGTGTTGAGGGGGTGAGCTCTGCCCTTTTCCCGGCTTCCCAGTGCCAGAGCCGCCAGGTGCACCAGACACCTTGGAGGTTGACCTCAGTTTAGCTTCAAGGCATCATATCCCCATTGTGGCAGGGCTTCCCTGTGCCCTCACCATCCCCCAGACCTGTCCCTAGGATCTCACATGGCCCTCCGCTGAGGCCAGGGAGCTGGGATCTGCACAGTGCCTGCCATGAGGCTGTGAGCTGCTCACATCTGGAGCCATGCCGCCATCACGGTCCAAACCCAGCTCTGCTCACTGTGCAGATGCTCCGAATGGCTCACGGCTCTGCTAGGATCAAGACCTAGATCTCGTGGCACTTTCAAGTTTATATCTATATTTTGTTGCCACTTTTTCTGTTTTACAAGACTGTGAGAGGAAGGGCACCTCCAGACCCTGTGCCAAGAAAGGCATACAGCGGTAAACAGGGCGTAATTCTACCCCAGGAGCTGGAACCCGTCGCAGCAAATGCATGACCATCTTTTTCAATGAAGAACCCAGACGCTAAGACACAGTAAGACTCAGTAACACCACCTGGTTTCCTCGAGACCCTAGGACTGACTCTGCTTTAGAACCTGCACTCCAATCCCCCCCGCCCCCCCCCCGCACGTTCCATGGCCCGCATCCCAATCCTGATCCGAAGGCTCGGAGAGAAATCACCCCTGGGACATGCTAATCAGACTCCGGGCTGCTGCTGACACAGCGGCGAGTCTGGCTAGACTTCCGCATTGGCTTGGTCCCCCCTGAGACCATCTCCCTGATTTTAGAGGGGACTTTACGACCCAAGTGCATGATCAATCCAGCTCTGGCTTTTTAACAAGGAATTAGGGAAACGGGAGAGACACTGGGTGAACAGTCTGTCTGATCGCAGCCTTCAGCCTCAGCAGGCTGACTCCTCATACCCTCAGCAGTCAAGGACCAGAAAAGCAGCCTCCAAATCCCCAAGCCTCCCCTCACCTGAGCAGGGCTCCCGTTGTCACGGCGCCGGCCGGCTCAGCCAGGAGGGTCCTGTGCTTTCAGCATGGCTTGTTTGGGAAGCAGCGGAGTAGCGTGCAGGTTCCCAGCGAGGCAGCCTTCAAAGCATCGTCCAGACTGCAGAATGGAATCTGGACGTGGGAATCCTCACAGGGCTGTGGGGCGCTTGGCACTGCCTGGCGCAGCCAGCCGCGTCCGAGCTCCATCCAGACTGCTGACCTGGCACGGGCGCTGCGTGATATGACTCGCTCACACGGGAAGATTTAACTGTCTGTTCCCCACACCCATAGCCCTCAAGTCTCTCCAAGACACATCCTCGGGCGACACCACAATTCCCACGCTCTACTCTACTCTCTGCCAGGGCTCTAGCCCTCAGGGGTTCACAGCCAACCCCCGCAGAGCGTGCCAGCCAAGAATTCATCGTTTCTCACAGAGGGATTATAATCCCAAGTTTTCTGCTTCTGTCTCTCTTTCATTAGTTAAACCAATTAAGATTAATATTAAGCATGAAGATATTGATAAACATCCTCGAGCTTTTACATAAATACCTGTCAATTGAAATCATTTTATTCTTAAAAAAGTCCAGCCACCTTTCCTTTACTCCTGTACAGCAAGCTGTTCTCATTTAATTCATATGACTTTAAAGTGGCATATGGAAAGGATAGGATTGAGGGGACATGGCTATCTTTTAAAAAAATGTAGCCACATCAGACATTAATGACGCACACCAGAATCTGGATTATGTGTTGGAGGGACGAAGGAATCATGAGAGGAGAAGAGGCGCTGGGTTTAGACCTGAAGAGCTGCCTTCACTGTGCAGGCTTGTGGCAGTCATTTGGTCCTGGGACTCAGGAGTCCCTGGCTGACAAGAACTCAGGCTACTTGATGGCCACAGTCCCTGCCAGCTCACCATCCTAGTATTTTACTTTCTCCGACCCAAACACACCCACCTTGCTTGTAGCTGGTGGAGGCAATGAAACCGTCACCAGCTTCACTGCAGATTCAGGGCTTGAGTCTGCCCCCCTCCCTTCTTAGCTCTGGGAAAACTGTAACCACAGTGGAGCCTCCGTGTTCTCACTAGGAGATGGGAGAACACTGCCCATCATGTGGACCCACACAGTCCCAGCAGGACATAAATGGGTTAATTCCAGAAAACCACCTGGACCTGTTCTCAGTCCACCTCTGTGCTCCATGAAGGCTGGCTGTTATTATTGCTCTATTCTGTGGTTCTGATTTCACCACTGTTCTCCTACTGACTTCCTATCTAATCAATACTGGGTATGCAAATATTTTGTATTCAATTGACCCTCCACATCCAAGGGTTCTAACCATGGATTGAAAGTACTCAGGAAAAAAAAATAATTGTGCCTGTTCTGAACATGCACAGATTCTTTTCTCTTGTCATTATTCCCTGAACAATACAATATAAGAAACTTGTACATAGCGTTTGCATCAGGTATAATAAGGTATTTGCATTGGGTGCGACTGTTTACATAGTGTCATATCAGGTATGGTAAGGCATCAGGAAGGATTTAAAACACCGACACGAGGTTCTATGCACAAACTGTGCCATTCGTCCAAGAAACTTGAGCATCCACAGGTTGTGATCTTTGTGGGGTCCTCGAACTAATCTTAAGTAGATTCTGAGGGACAACTATGTATGTGTGAGCCATGGTGTTAAAGAAATAGGATTCTGTTGATGTTTGCAAAGATAAGGTCACATCTGTGTTTGGCAGGCAGCGTTTTGTCTCAGCAAAATTCCACACACGTACTGAGCACTTACTGTATGACACAGCATTCTTTAAATGCTGTTTCTTTATCATCTATATGTTTTAGGGCACTATATAAAGTGTTTTCCCTTTTTACTAATCATTTAAAATGACCTCTATTTTAAAACAAAAATAACACCTGTGCATAAAAAATATGTAATTTTCCAGAAGTTGCCCAGGATAGGAACCCAGGAGGTCTAGCCCCAAGCCTCGATCACACTGTGACCTGAGTGAAGGAAGGTTGAACAGGTAGCAGGAGACCAGGTTTGCAGCGGGCAGAGGAACTAGTCCTTCTCGGTGCCTCCTTCAGGTGCAACAAATTCTTACTGGGGCGTGGACCTATGAGCAGGTGTTAAGTATAGGCCTCCAGAAACACTGACTGATGTATTAGTTGTGCAAATCCCACACTGAATAGTGAGAGTAACACTGATGGCAAGACTGAGAACTGGAACCTAGGTGGAAAGTGTCTCTGCCATGGCCCCGGCAGGGCCACTGCATCCATGCCACTCACAAGGCCTAGCATCCCCAGCTGGCAAAGGGGACATGGACATTCCAGCTCCACATCAGGATGGGAGGGGAAGATGGAGAGGAAAGGCCTAGGCTGCTGTCTGACACTGTTCTGGGGACAACTCTGGAGGGGCAGTAAGCAGGTGAGCAGGGGACTCCACCCTACAAGAGAAGTCCTGGTCCACGGCCAGCCTTAGCCGAGTCATGGTTTCAGATTTAGAAACAAATAAACAAAAGCCTCCTTCTCCCCACTATCCTGTCATCCATTCAATCTAAGTTCATATCGACATGTTGAAGACGCGGCAGGCCTGAGTTCCTCTGCAGCCTCTGTGCCTGCCCGAGTGCTCACCCCTAGGAGCAGGGCTCTCATCCCTTCTCATCTCCCGATAACCCCGAGCGCCACGGATACCTGCACACATGACTTGGCACCGTCTGTTCGCCTCCTGTGCAGCCTTCTCTGCTGAGTCCAGGCTGCTCCCCTCTGTGTCCTCGTGTCACCCAGACGTCCTCAATCATCCTCACACCTGTTTCTCCTGTGGGTCCCTAGGGACACAGCAGTGTCGTGCTCACCTTTACTTCCCTGAATTCTAGCCCCGCATTTCTCACCCTCTGGACGACTGAACTCTGTGACCACAGCGTTCCTTCTTGTGGGGGGACTGACCTGTACATCACAGACGCTGAGCAGCTAAGGGTCCAGACAGTCCCATCGCCTCGGGGCCCAGTCTACCCTGCTCAGGCATCGCTGCCCTAGTGAGACGACTGGATCAGACTCCATCCTTGAAACAGTGGCTGTGAAGCAAATGTCCAATCGCCATTAAATTTACTTAGTGTAATACGAGTTGCAGCCATTTGACAATTAGTATGTCTCAAATTATTTCTCTGCAAGAGAGCAAACCACAAATTCATTAATCTATTCATTTAACTAGTGAATTGAATGGATATACTAAATATTCCATTTTAAGTACTTTCCTAGCCCTGAATGGACAGTTGTACACACCAAGGTTAGCAGACAAATAAAAAGCATTTCCAAAGCACCCACATGCAAAACAGGCCAGTGAACAGCCAGGCCCTCATCCTTGCATCTGTCTTCTCATCTCCGAGGTCACAGTTGTCCCTGCTCAGCCAGTGCTACCTGTTAGTGCTCAGGTGTGAAGCCATGTAAGACCCAGGTCCTCGCCTGGGCAATAGGAGCAGGAGGAAGGGATCCAGGAATGAGTACAGTGACATATTTACTCACATAATCAGTGTTTATTCAGAGTGCGTTATGGTCTAGATGTGAGGTGTCCTCCAAAAGCTCACGGGTGAGACAACGCAAGAAATGAAATGATTGGATGACAAGAGGTTTAACTTAACGGGTGCATTAATCCCTGATAGGGATTAACTTGGTGATATCCATAGGCAGGTAGGGTGTGGCTGCAGGAGGTGGGTCCCTGGGGGTGTGACTTTGGGGTTTATATTTTGTTCTGGCGAGGAATGCTCTCTCTCTCTGTCTCCTTCTCTCTGTGTCTCCTTCTCTCTCTCTCTCTCCTTCTCTTTCTCTCTCTTTGTCTCCTTCTGTCTCTCTCTCTCCCTCTCTCTCTCTCCTTCTCTGTCTCCCCTTCTCTCTCTCTCTCTCTCCCTCTTTCTGTCTTCTTCTCTCTGTCTCCTTCTCTCTCTCTCCTTCTTTCTCTCTCTCTCCTCTCTATTTCTCCTTCTCTCTCTCTTTCTCTCTCTCCCTCTGTCTCCTTCTCTCTCTCTCTCTGTCTCCTTCTCTCTCTCTCTGTCTCCTTCTCTCTCTCTCTCCCCCTCTCTCTCCCTCTCTCTGTCTCCTTCTCTCTCTCCTTCTCTCTCTCTCTCTCTCTCTCTCTCTCTCTCTCTCTCTCTCTCTCTCTCTCTCTCTCTCTCTCCCCCTCTCTCTCCCTCTCTGTCTCCTTCTCTCTCTCTCCCCCTCTCTCTCCCTCTCTCTGTCTCCTTCTCTCTCTCTCTCTCTCTCTCTCTCTCTCTCTCTCTCTCTCTCTCTCTCCCCCCTTCTCTCTCTCTCTCTCTCTGTCTCCTTCTCTCTCTCTCCTTCTCTCCTTCTCTCTCTCCCCCTCTCCTCCTTTCTGGTGCCATGTCCCCGGCTGCTTCCCTCCACCACGCCTTTCCACCATGATGTTCTGCCTCATCTCTGACCCCGAGGAATGGAGCTGGTTGTCTATGGACTGAGACTCTGAAACTGTGAGCCCTAAATAAACGTTTTCTCCTTTAATTGTTCTTGCTAGTTCTTTTGGTCACAGAGATAAAAATGCTGTCTAAAACAGTGCTGCGTACTGACAGTCTGGTGTTCAGAAAAGCTGATATAATCTCACATGGCTAACAGTCTAGGAAGGAAGAGGCGGTGAGGACAAGGAGAAAGTACCCTGGAAACCGGGATGACCATGGGGTCCAGGGCGTGCACCTGTCTTGGCCTGGGGAGTGTCTGTGGTGGCTTGAACACATGCCCCTGAATTCTGTGACACTCCTCCCATAAAGTGGAGTCTAATTCACCTCCTGAAGAATGGGAGGTGGCTTTGCTGACACCTCTAACAGAATGTGTCTGCAGAGGAGCCATGTGACACAAGAGGCCAGACACCAAAGGCAGCACAGCTCTGCCCAGCTCCCTCCCTCTGGGGACCCGCCCTTGGAGCCCAGCTGCTGTACTGCCAGGAAGTTCAGGATATGGCTCTGCCCTGTGTAGGTGGACCGGCCAGCTGCCCCTTCTGAGGCTAAACAGAGCACAGAGGAGCTACCTTCACACACCCCTGTTCAGAAGGAGATTTGTGAGTGTGATAAATGTCCCTGTTCAAAGCCACTGAACTTGGGGGTGGTTTGTTGCACGGGCGCGTAACGTTCACAATACACAGCTTTGAGAAATGCCTGGATGTTTGTAGCGGGTGCACAGAGTCTCCTGTTGCTCAGGAAAGATTCCACCAGGCAGACACGCACATGCTCTCCAGGAACTCATGCAGGGTGTGACGAGCCAGCGCCA